TTACTTTGGTAGTTAGACTGAACTGAAGGAACAGTTTTTTATCACACAAAATTCTACCTTCAGTAAAGCATTCAGATTGTCATCTGAATTTGAATGTTTTATCTCTGTCTTGGCAGGCTCCATCCACTTTGACAGGCCATTGGTTCTCCTGATTTTATCATCTAAATTAGAAAAGTTGTATGAATCAACTCTCGTGTTCTTCCATGTTGGTTTCTCTGGTTCATAAAAATCATCATCGTATTCATCCCTATCAGTTTGTTCCGGCCATGAATCGCCTGTATCATCCTCAAAGGCCGATGCTTGTGGGGGAATTGAAGGCAAAGGCTGCGCAATTGACTCTTTCACATTAGCAGTCGAAGTCAAAACATCCTTCTTGGAGTTATTTCCTTTTGAGAGGCTCTTCACCCTGAAGTTTGCAACAAACTGCACAGTGTTAAGGCCTATAGGAGAAGAAATATAGAACTTATCCAGGAAAATGATTAAGACTGACCTGTCGGCATATCTAAGGGTGTTTAAGGTATGTTCACAGGATCCTGAGGTTGGTGAAATGCATGATATCATCACCGTACGGGAGTTTCCTACAAACGAGTCCCTCAAGACTTCGGTTAATTTGCTGCCTCTAAACGGAATGTGCCCCTGATCGTTGTCAAGTGCTCTAATACACTCCTTCAGGGCAAGCAAACTTTTATTGATCTCAGCTCCTTCCATTCTGTGTGTTCAGAAAATTGGATAAGAACTTACGATGCAAAGTGATCACCTGGAAGATATTCATCAACTTCTTCCTCCCAAATGCTAACAATAATTTAACATTTCACATGGTACAGTTATGTCTCCATGCATCATAGTCAAATTTCTTCATCTCTAATTAAGTAGTGTTTGACAATCACTTCCTTTTCTTTCAAATAAAAGGTAAAGGTTGTTGAGAAGAAGAAGTTGACACTACAAAAGACTACACCAACTCCTTTTCAGCCAGATTGACTTTTGTATGAAAAAACTCAATTCATACTCAAAATCTAACTCAACTTTAACCCAACTCCACTATTCTCAATATTATCAATATAATTAAATAATACCAACTAATTATTATTACACATCACATCAACTTTAATTTACTATACATCCACTCACATAATTTTAACTAACCATCACTTCACACCATCTCTCTCCTACTTTAACATCAAATCAACTTTAATTATTTTAATTTTAATATTATTTTAATATAAAATCAAAATCCCACTAATAACTAACCATACCACTTTTTTCAAATTAACTATGGTTAACAAGAAAAACTCATTTTGAGCGGATATATTTCTATACAAACATTCTCTATTTCACTGAGCCACTAGAAGCTAATTACATATATATTACCTGGTCTGCTTATCATTATCGGTAGTGTCCGCACCACGTTCACTACCAGCAAGGTCAATGAAGGAGAGCTTGCCCACAACCCTTGCAGGTTTAGATTCACTGCCATCTGGCGACCTCTTAATGGTCAACTGAAGAATGGCATGCGAACGAGATGACTCCTCATTTGCACCAGTGGTGCCTGTACTTCTCGTTGCATTACCTTTCTCAATGAGTTCCTTGATCGTCTCAACATCTGAGACTCGGTATTCTTGCAAGCCCACGATACAGACTTGCTGTTTACCATCCTCTCTCATGCAAAGTTTCCTGTTGGGGCAGTAGGAAGAAGGTAATGAAGTTCCACCAGAGGAAAATAACGTATAGGCGAAATCAAATTATGAATGGATATGATAACATTTCTTACTTCCTATCACTCAGCAGATCAAAAAGCTTTCCCCCATATATCTCAAAGAAGCTGACAAATAGCTGAAAGCCTTGGTTCCTGTAAGTGTGGTGCATGAGCCTCAAGATGTCCCTAACAGCTTTTAGGGGCAGGGGTTTCATGGTAAAAGTTTTGCCACTTCCTGGAAAGTTTAAAAGTTGTAGTGGAAAAAAGAGTGACGTAAGAACAAAATAAAAAATAAGTGAAAAATAATTAGGGGTGATGATAAAACAAAAATGATCACCTGTTTGCCCATAAGCGAAGCAAGTGGATTTTGTACGTTGAAAAATAATTGGAACAATAGGTTCTACAGTTTCACGATAGACCTACAAAGAAAACATAAGGACCAAGTTAACGAAAAAAACAAGACTACCACGAGGCAATATACGTTTTCCTCAATATCAGGTTTAGTTCATGTTGATGTATTACCTCATCATTTGAAACTTCTTCATTCAACACTGCATCAAAAACAAATTCATGTTTCTCCACATATTCAGTAAGGTCAACCTGCAATGTTATAATATACACGAAAATTCAAGTTTAAAGTTCAGCTGAATTAAGCATTTAGTGATACTTAAATTTCTATGAAAATAGAAACATTACAAAGTTATAAATGGCCATATAGCATACGCCAGGGTTTCAATCCAGTCGGCAATTTATTTCACAATAGATTAGCATGTGAAAAGATATATTCATCTAGGAAAGGTACCAAATAAAGTGCAAATTAATTGCCTAAATCACGCAAGTATCCTTGTTTGTCATATAATGAAAAGCATAAGATAGTTAACTTAATTTTGGTGGGCATCTTCAAAATGGTAAACATAAGAAAATAATTCAGGACTACTTACGGTAGAAAAATCAAGGCGTCAAATAAGGCCAAGAACAACAACTTATATAACAATTAAGAGCCGGCCGGATAAATACAGAAAACCTTATCAAACCTTAAGTTTTGTCTCATGGACAACAAGAGAATTTGAATAGGTATCTATGATATCCTCCTCATTCTTTGTTAGTTCCTTTTTGTTTAGAGGTCTTTTCCGCACCTGAAATCAAATAAACCATTTTTGTCAAACTACACAACAAACAAAAGGAGAAGTATATGATATAGTTTGTGCAAGACATTGCTGGGGTGCAAAGGAACTTCAGTCCATGCTGCAATGACTAAAAAAAGTCTCCATAAATCAGTGTCATGGCTGCACTTTTTCATTTAGTTAAAGAGTGTGACTGTGTAGAGAATGAACCTCGGTAAATTAAAGTAGTTCGCAAGTGTTACCAACAACCCACCACAAAAAAATATCTAACAGATCAACATGGAATAAGTGGAAATTAACGTACCACTACTTTGATCTTGGCAACATTGCTGGCCTTCACATTATCAGCGGCAATGCTTTTCAGGACATTGCTTTCCGGCACAGCACGAGCTCGGCCAGCTTGTTTGTTGTTCCCAAAGTACGATGGGTCAGAGTCATCAAAACTTCTTCCCCTAGAAAAATGATTCATTGATGGGCCATCATAGGGCCCTGGAACTGATACCTATTTTCAGCATTCACATCCAGATAGTGGGTAAATGGAATACAAGGGAAAATTACAGCAAATGTCAGGCAATCATCTAAAACAGAGAACACAAGTTAAAGGGTAAAATAGTTGACAGTGGTGTATCAGTCCACTCAGATATTTATTTTCAATGCAGACAGACAAGCATTTAACGACCATGATACTCAATTAGTTTTCCCATAAATAATGTGACAACTTAAAATTTCCTGGCATCAAATTCTGTACTGCAATCCTGATTGCCCACTATCACCTCCAATTTCGTACCAAACAAGAGTTTTATCTTTCCCAACTATAATCCAAAACCAACACACAAAATCATCACCTACATTCAAAATTCTGCAGTAAAAACCAATCAGATGAACCATTAAACAACTTTTAATGGTGAAATTACCTCGGGAAGTAGCTCTGTATCAAATGAATGCAGATCCAAAAGACCAGGGCTATATTCATTGGGCGAAACTTGGTCATCCCCATTCTTCCTCCGTGAAATCTCCGGCGGCGTCAATGGCTCAGCAAACAAATCGCTGCCTCCACTGTAAGTCCTCTGGCCTTGCAAACTCCTGTACATTCTCGAGCCCTGACCCCCACCATTATAGTACCCAAAATCCTAATTTTTCCATAGGGCAGCAAAGACCATTGCGAGAAGACGAAAATTCAGGGGTTTTCCACTGTGGTATCAGATCTGGATAAGTTCAAATTCAACAACACAAAGTAAATTACATAAAATGCACCTGAGCTGAAGGCGCCGCATTGTTCGATGAATGTAGGTGCTGCAAACCAGCTGATTGCAGCCACCGCCCGTTGGAGGAAGCTTCGATATAATTGTCGGAGTACTGCCGCTGATGGTGCGCCGCCGACGAACCGGATCTCTGCCTCCCCACCGCCGCGTTCATTTTTTCTTCGATCAAAAAGAGAAACCAAAAAAAATGGGCGAAGAAAACTGAAACCCTTTTTTCTCTGAACTGCAAGTTTCAACCTTTCCGCCGCTCTCAACTGGGAAGATTAAAGACGAATGCAAGTGACCGATGTCTCTGTTTTTCAGATAGAAATAAAGAAAAATATATTTATTGTTGATGAAATGTGAGTGACAGGCTTGGTCGGAGAGGAGATTTGAAATCAACGGCTGAGATTGGTTTTCACATCGAACCTGCTGGTGAAAAAAAAAAGAGATGTATTTTCGGTTTTATTTTTTAATTTATTTTTAATTACTTGAATTATTGTTTGATTAGAAGGAGTTTAGGGGGACGGGAGTTTGAATTTTGAAGAGGTGGGGGAGTGGCGCGTGTGGGCGGGCATGCGTTCGTGTGGAAAATGTGATTGGCTGAAAGTTGAAGACGGTGAATGGGTGGGTCCCGCTTTAGTATTTTGAATTGAGGAAGCACGTTCCGCGTCGTTTCACATTGTGGAGGTGCGTCGTTTAGCGCCGATAATGTGTATTGGGCTGAAGGCCCAAAAGTTAAAAACTTTTATATTTGTGTCTCATAGAATGTTGGCTCATTTCGACTCTCAATTTCTTAAATACAAAATTATTAATCACAGCAGGACTATTTTGGTGAGGTAACATTTGATTTTGTATTTAGCAATTGAGAGTCAAAATGAATCAACATTCGATTCAACTTCGTATTTGTTAATGTCGTAGGTTTACCTTTCTTTTATCTGATCTACCCATTTGTTCACATTAGCCCCATGAATAAGTCTGATAATACGTCCACCCTACAACAAATAGTTAGATGCAACATATTAAAATCATTATATTAAATTTTGAATACTAATATTAATATTCGTATTAGTATTATCTATATAAGATCACGAATTGTAAAACAAAAAATTAAATTAATATTAATATTAGTATTTGTATTGTCAAGATAAGAACACAAATTGCAAAACAAAAAAACGAAACCCACCTTCTCGTCATGAAATAGGATTTCCATATAGTTTGTAGCTTCAACAATTTTTCGAATTACCAGCAACATCAAACATGACTTTTCGGTTCATGAGGCTTGTTTTGGCAAACCAAATACGCAGTTCATGTTGAAAGTATTGTAATTGTCCAAAAAAAAAAAAATATCTGTGAGTTTTTACATCTGCCAATTTATAGACTTAGTAAGAGGCTTAATTTAATTAAATATTTTTTTTGAAAATATTGTAAAAAAAGACAACATATGGTGTATTTTTTGGATCTAATTAATTAATTTGTAATATTATGTATTTATGTTAAATTACAATAATTTGATATTTGATAGTTTTTTTAAGATCACAAACTATGTAAAAAAAATCAGAAAATATAATTATAAATTTAATGATTCTCAATATTATAAATATAATATTATAAATTCAAATTAAAATCTAAATTTTAACTGGATGTTTGAGTTAAAATCTCAATTTTAATTGGATGTTTGAGTTAAAAATTTAAATAAATATAATTATAGATTTAATGATACTCAATATTAAAAATATAATTAAATAATATTAATGAATCATCCTCGCACTTCACGTCAACTAACTTTATTATTCATCTACTCACATATTTTTAACTAACAATCTATCACAATCCCATCTAATCCTACTTTTACATCACTATCAACTTTAATCACTACAATTTAACCAAACACCAACTCAAAATCCAACCTAAAACTCTATGCAATCATCATTTTTCAAATTTAGTTCACTATATTCAATAAATTCAAATCACATCCAAAGAACTTAGGTCCAAAATCACACCCTAGTAAGTCAGCCCATCAATTCATTTCCCTCTCTTAAAAAATGTGTAGTCAATTCTTCCCGCTAACACTCAAAGTATCCCCACTTTGAATTCTTGAATTATCATCGTTGTTGTTGGATATGAATCTCATAGCTCCCTCATAGGCCATAAAAACTGCACCATTCACGATGAAGGCCCTAGAAAGTGTCATCCAAATACCTCTCCACAACACACAATATCCATCTTGCTCCACACATCTTTTAAATGAATCAAAAACCCCACAATATTTCGATTGGGCTTGAATTCTTGTCTTGAGCACATCAAAAGGATAACAACTAATCCAACTTGTAACTCCCGCAAGACCGCCTGCAAAAAGCATAGTCGCGAACGATTCTTGTCCGTTTTTCCTACATCCTCGATGGATTTGTTCTCGCGCAAACTCGTATGTCCAAAAGTAAACACCGTGAGATGGTGCGTCTCTGAGTAATGTAATGCCTAGTCCACGGTACATTCCTCTCCAACCTTGTGTCTTGAGTATGTTTCGTGTTACGTCTAGTGGACCCGAGTGGTTGATATTGCTCTCGGTTTTTCTTTGCAATTGTAGGCGAATTTTGATTAGCTCGATTGGGGTAATGACAAAACTTTGTATGGCTCCCGCTCCTATTCCTGCGCAACTCCTTTGTACGACGGTGGTTCGTCTGTTGTGATGTTCGTGTCGAATGCTCTCGACAAAGTAGCGTAAGATTGGAAAACAATAGCGTTCTGCAAAGGTAATCAAAAAAAAAAAAATAATAATAATGAAGAAACAAGAATTTGGAGTTTGTGTATTTTGTTAACTAGTAATCCGTCCGGTACACATGTACATATCAATATATGCATATTATGGATATAGTATTTAAAAGTATATAATACTTAGGCTATGGCATATCGAATTTTATAAATTTGATCGTTAGTAATAAAAAGGAACAATATGAATATAAACTATTCTATTTACATATGCACATGAACTTGCAATAATTTGTTCAATTTTAAAATCATTAATATAATCATGATCAACTTCTCATTTTCAAATCTTTCATAATTTTGAACTTAATGAACCCAATTTATTCTACCTAGGTGTAAACTCTAAATTGGAGATCAAATTTTGTTAATTATTCAAGAGGCAAATTAATTTTTCAATAAGATATGTACCTGAAAGGAGATTGAAGCGAAGGGAGCAAACATGCCACGAAAAAGTGCGCATGGTCCCTCATGGCGTAGGATAGCAAATGCCGATTCTTTGCTCGAGTGTTGTTGCCATATTCTCAATGTGTAGTGGATAACCCGTCAGGACACCGGCGGTGCCGCCAATGCTGCCGGCCACAAACTCACGACCCCAACTGCTCCTCAGAAATTCCGGCCAAACATCCATTTATTTGTATGCCTCAATTACTAAAAAGGAAACAAAAATTTGTGACAACAAAAGGGTTATTAATGTACCAGCATTCTCGTTGAGTTTCCATTGTATATTAGCATATTTATTTAATTTATTTATCTTTTTCAACCAATTAAAATTTTACACATCATAAATGATACCACAATTAACATCAACCATTGGAGACATAATTTTTTAGTTTTCATTCTCCATGCCATACAACACAAAATGGATCATTTTTCATTGGAGATGCTCTAATAATTCAATTTAAAAAGAGAGAAAGAGATGGCTTCTCTTCTTTTGAACCAGGGTCAAAATGTTTGTATTTTGTTTAAGATTTTTTGAAAAATTGAGACATTTTATTGGATGAGGTCAAAGCTAAATCAAGAACTCCACTGTTCAAAGTTGACTGTTGACTATTAGATTTTATTTATATGGATTTTTCTGTAAAAAAAAATAAAAATTATCAATGTCAAAATTTTTAATGTAAAATAAATGCATATAGTTTAAATGGATGTGTTTGTATTAAATATATATAAATGGTGGTTTGAACACAAAGGAGATGTAGCTCAACGGTCATGTTTCTAAAGAATTAAGAAATACGGGGTTCAATTCCTTGCATCTCCAAAATTATTTTTTTCTCCATTTATTTATTGGAGGAAAATTTAAAAGTTTGTGACACTAATATGTTGATTCAATTTAGAAAGAGAGAAATAGATGGCTTCTCTTTCCTTTGAACGAGGGTCAAAATATTTGTATTTTGTTTAAGATTTTTGGAGGACTTGGGACATTTTATTGTGTGATGTCAACGCTAAATCAAGAACTCTACGGTTCAAGGTTGGCTGTTGACTATTATATTTTCTTTATATGGATTTTTCTGTACAAAAAAATAAAAATTATCAATGCCAAAATTTTTTATGTAAAATAAATGCATATAGCACTACAACATAAATGACTTTAGGTAGCACCATTTATTGTAATACTTTACAAATTATTGGTTTATGTATCATATTATTGTAACACTTTTAAACCAATAATTTGTAAAGTACTACCATAGATGCTGCTACTTAAAGTCATTTATAGTTTAAATGGATGTGTTTGTATTAAATATATATAAATAGTGGTTTAATATTTAAGGAGATATAGCTCAACGGTCATATTTCTAAAGCATTAAGAAATACGAGGTTTGATTCCCCGCATCTCCAAAATTATTTTTTTCTCCGTTTATTTATTGAGAAGACTTTTCAGTTTGTGACACTAATATTAGGTTCAATTTAAAAAGTGAGAAAGAGATGACTTCTTTTTCCTTTACCGAGAATCAAAATGTTTGTATTTTGTTCAAGATTTTTGAAGGAGTTGGGACATTTTATTGTGTGAAGTCAATGCTAAATCAAGAACTCTACGGTCCAAGGTTGGCTGTTGACTATTAGATTTTCTTTATATGGATTTTTCTGTAAAAAAAATAAAAATTATCAATATCAAAATTTTTAATGTAAAATAAATGCATATAGTTTAAATGGATGTGTTTATATTAAATATATATAAATGGTGGTTTGAACACTAAGGAGATGTAGCTCAACAATCATGTTTTTAAAGAATCAAGAAATACGGCGTTCGATTCCCCGCATCTCCAAAATTATTTTTTTCTCCATTTATTTATTGGAGGAGACTTTTCAATTTGTGACACTAATATTTTTATTCAATTTAAAAAGAGAAAAATAGATGGCTTCTCTTTCCTCTGAACGAGGGTCAAAATGTTTGTATTTTGTTTAAGATTTTTGGAGGAGTTGGGACATTTTATTGTGTGAGGTTAATGCTAAATAAAGAATTCTACAGTTCAAGGTTGGCTGTTGACTATTAGATTTTCTTTATATGGATTTTTCTGTAAAAAGAAAAAAATTCTATATCAAAATTTTTTATGTAAAATAAATGCATATAGTTTAAATGGATGTGTTTATATTAAATATATATAAATGGTGGTTTGAACACTAAGAAGATGTAGCTCAATGGCCATATTTCTAAAGCATTAAGAAATACAGAGTTCGATTACCAACATCTCCAAAAAAATTTTTTTTCTCCATTTATTTATTGGAGGAGACTTTTCAGTTTGTGACACTAATATTAGGTTCAATTAAAAAATAGAGAAATAGATGGTTTCTCTTTCCTTTGAACGAGGGTCAAAATATTTGTATTTTGTTTAAGATTTTTGGAGGAGTTGGGACTTTATTGTGTGAAGTCAATGCTAAACTCTACGGTCAAGGTTGACTGTTGACTATTAGATTTTCGTTATATGGATTTTTCTGTAAAAAATATAAAAATTATCAATGTCAAATTTTTTTATGTAAAATAAATGCATATAGTTTAAATGGATGTGTTTGTATTAAATATATATAAATGGTGCTTTAAAAACTAAGGAGATGTAGCTCAACGGTCATGTTTCTAAAGAATTAAGAAATACGGGGTTCGATTCCCCGCATCTCCAAAATTATTTTTTGCTTCATTTATTTATTGGAGGAGACTTTTCAGTTTGTGACACTAATATTTTGATTCAATTTAAAAAGAGAGAAATAGATGGCTTCTCTTTCCTTTGAACGAGGGTCAAAATATTTGTATTTTGTTTAAGATTTTTAGAGGAATTGGGACATTTTATTGTGTGGGTCAATGCTAAATCAAGAACTCTATGGTTCAAGGTTGGCTGTTGACTATTATATTTTCTTTATATGGATTTTTCTGTAAAAAATATAAAAATTATCAATGTCAAAATTTTTTATGTAAAATAAATGCATATAGTTTAAATGGATGTGTTTGTATTAAATATATATAAATGGTGGTTTAACATTAAGGAGATGTAGCTCAACGGTCATATTTCTAAAGCATTAAGAAATACGGGGTTCGATTCTCTGCATCTCCAAAATTAATTTTTTTCTCCATTTATTTATTGGAGAAGACTTTTCAGTTTGTGACACTAATATTAGGTTCAATTTAAAAAGAGAGAAATGGATGCCTTCTCTTTCCTTTGAACAGGGTAAAAAATGTTTGTATTTTGTTTAAGATTTTTGGAGGAGTTGAGACATTTTATTGTGTGAAGTCAAAGCTGAAACAAGAACTATACGGTCCAAGGTTGGCTGTTGACTATTAGATTTTCTTTATATGGATTTTTCTGTAAAAATAAAAATAAAAATTATCANAAAAAAATTATCAATATCAAAATTTTTAATGTAAAATAACTGATATAGTTTAAATGGATGTGTTCGTATTAAATATATATAAATGGTGGTTTGAACACTAAGGAGATGTAGCTCAACGGTCATGTTTCTAAAGAATTAAAAAATACGTGGTTCAATTCCCCGCATCCCCAAAATTCTTTTTTTTTTTCCATTTATTTATTGGAGGAGACTTTTCAGTTTGTGACACTAATATGTTGATTCAATTTAGAAAGAGAGAAATAGATGGCTTCTCTTTCCTTTGAACGAGGGTCAAAATGTTTGTATTTTTTTTAAGATTTTTGGTAGAGTTGGGACATTTTATTGTGTGAGGTCAACGCTAAATTAGGGATGACAAAACGACTTGGACCCGGCCTGACCCGACCTGACCCGGAGCGTGGGCGGACTCGACCTGCCCTGTTTATAAAACGGGTCAGGGCATGTCCGGCCCGTTATAAAAACAGTCCAGGTCCGGGTCTAATGTATTGCCCCGCCCCGCCCTGCCCCGCCCCAACTATATATATAGAGAGAGATATTATATAGATATTAAATATATTATAATACATGAAGTAATTTTAGGGTTTTTGTTCACTTTTCACTCCCCCATTCCCGTTCCCCGCCTCTCATCTATCTCTGTACTGTGAAATTCGACCTCGCCAAGTCGCCAGTTGCCTCTTCGTCTCCCTCTTCTCAAATTCCCTCCACCGGCCAAGCCCACACCACCCACCGTCCGCCTCTCCTTTCACACAGTCTCGCCTCTCCTCGCCCTCAGCTCGACACGTCGGCTCAAAGGCTTCTCGCCAGCGCCTCTCCTCGATGCCTCGTCGCCTCCGACGCCTCGTCGGATCAAATATATATTTTTGCTGAAATTTTTGGTAGAACATTAGACGGGACAGGTCTGTTGGGATTTAATGTTGGATTTGTTTTTGTTAGTCTGTTGGGATTTAATGTTGGATTTGCTTAATTTATTATGTCTATTGGGATTAATGATATTTGAATCTTATGAGAAATGCTGAATTAATTGTGAATTGTTGATGAATTCATTGTTAAAATCATGCTTCTGTTGTTTTTTTGTTGAATTCATTGTGAAATTAGAATCAGGCAACCAAGTCCATCATGTACAACCCATTGTAGGCAATTTGTAGGAAAAAATAAATAAAAAGGGCGGGCCAAGTCGCGGGGCGGCATTATTGGACCCGTGGCGGGTCACGGGCCAAGTCGGGGGGCGGGGGCTATGGTCGCGGGGCAGGTTCGTATTTCTAAAGTGTTAAGAAATACGGGGTTCAATTCCCCGCATCTCCAAAATTATTTTTTTCTCCATTTACTTATTGGATTTTGAAGCCTCCAAAAAAAATCTTATCATCATCATCGTCGTCATCATCATCAGCTTCATCTTCAAAGCGTTCTCCCCACTTCAGTATCAGTGAAAGCTCCGTGGCCGAAAATGGCCCTCTCAACGGCCAAGCTAACCGAGCTGCCACCGCACCTGCTATCTACATTCTCCATACCCCGCCGCAAACCTCCGCATTCCGCTTTCCGATTCTTCAAACCCTTGTCTTCTTCTCTCCGCTCCACCAACAACACACCCAAAACCCCGTCCAAAAACCCCGACGTAACCGAAACTTCTTCTTCCTGGATCAAAAAATGGCCTTCGCCTCCTCCGAAACCACCGCCGGCTCCGAAATCGAGCTCGAGAAAGCCCCGTCATCCTAAAACCCAAACAGCTCCGATGGGTACCACGGCTATCGATAGAATTGTGCTTCGGTTGAGGAATTTAGGGCTTGGCTGCGATGACGAAGAGGAAGAAGACGAAGAAGGAGGGCAGTCGGGAACAAATTCTGGTTCGGGTAATGCTGATTTTGGGGATGAGAAACTAGGGGATTTGTTAAAGAGGGATTGGATTAGGCCGGACAGTATTTTAAGGGAGGATGAGGGTTATGACTCTGATGCGCTGTTGCCGTGGGAGAGGGGTGTGAATGAGGATGATGAAGTGGCGGAGGATAGCGGGGGAGCTAAGAAGCGGGCCATGCGGGCCCCTACTTTGGCCGAATTGACGATTGAGGATGAAGAGTTGAGGAGATTGCGGAGAATGGGGATGACTCTGCGGGAGAGGATCAGCGTGCCTAAGGCCGGGCTCACAGGTGCTGTGTTGGAGAAGATTCATGACAAGTGGAGGAAGTCTGAACTTGTGAGGTTGAAGTTTCACGAAGAGTTGGCACACGACATGAGGACTGCACATGAGATAGTTGAGGTTGGTGAGTTCTGATATTGGAATAATCTCTAATATTATAATACTTTGTTTCTTTTTTTCTTCTCTATTCTTGGAGAGTGCTAGCGTGCGATAGTTATTCTGTGTTGTGCTATTGATTAACCGAAATAAATTACTGTGCAATGTGGTTGCCGCGCTTTGAGATAGTTTTGGTACTATTACGAGTGTGAATGAGGCTGTGATTGTTTGTGATAGTGGAGTGCACTCCTCTTTTACTTAGTATAGAAATTTTGGTGGGAAAATGTACATCTATTTTTCGTAATTACCTCCCCTTCTATATAGATATAGATTATCTACTGATTTTGAGAAATTCAATAGTCGCATTAGGATTGTGAATTAACATCCTGTCAGTGTATCTGGTTAAATCTGCATTGTAGAATCACGCAGGCAATCAAAAAATTACCAGCTTTAAGGTGGAACCCCTTTTTGGATGGAATTGTCTGGCTTCTATTTTATCCAAATATCCTGTTATCTTACTCGCATTTGTGGATGTACACAAACCATAAGTACTGAGTGCGTTTTCTCTGATCAGCGCCGGACAGGGGGTCTAGTCACATGGAGGTCTGGAAGTGTCATGGTGGTGTTTAGAGGAACTAACTATGAAGGCCCTATTTCTAAATCGCAAAGGGTTAACACCGAAGATGAAAGTCTTTTTGTCCCTAATGTTACCTCCATTGACAATTCAGTCACGCAAGAAGGTGCTGGTAAAAGTCAGGTTCTTGAGAAGCCCAATCCAGTTGCACCGTCCCCCGTGAAGAGTATGTCAGTAGAGGAAGCTGAATACAATGCCCTATTAGATGGTTTAGGTCCACGGTTTGAAGATTGGTGGGGTACGGGAGTGCTTCCTGTTGATGCCGATTTACTTCCTCCTGCAATTCCTGGGTATAAGACTCCTTTCAGGCTTCTTCCCGCTAGAATGCGTTCACGGCTTACCAATGCTGAGATGACTAACTTGCGGAAGCTTGCTAAGTCGCTCCCTTGCCATTTTGCCCTAGGTAGTTTTTGCCCTTTTGTGTTTTTCTTTATAATAAATGTCTGTATTAACATTTTTTTTTTATCTTATTTTCCAGGAAGGAACAGAAACCATCAAGGTTTAGCAAAGTCCATAGTTAAGCTGTGGGAGAAAAGTTTACTGGTAAAAATTGCTGTGAAGCGTGGAAAACAGAATACTAACAACAAAATCATGGCTGAGGAACTCAAGGTATGTGGATTATCCTGCACACCGTGTGGGCATTTTATGTTCTTGACATTTATCTATCTCTGCTCAGTTACATTTCGACAAGAACGATTTCAGGTTCTATATTTGATGGAATAACGTACTTGGTTATTGTGATTTGTTACTGTTCTATAAAGATTTTTTTTCCCTTGTAAGATTGTTACATAAGGTTTGGCATTATGATTACTCATTCTTTAGGTATCATGATAGTATTACTGCTTTATGAGAAATCATTTACACTGCTCTCAGTTATCCTAAAACAATTGCATCTTGTAACTGTTGCTGATATATTGATATACAGTGTTGAGGAATAACTTGCCTTGTGACATCAGTACCTAATCATTGTTACACATTGGTTGTACTTTCTCAATTCATTTTCTTCTCCTTCTCTTCTCTTGGTCTGCTACAGAAATTAACAGGGGGAGTCTTACTTCTACGAAATAAATATTACATAATCATGTACCGGGGAAAGGATTTTCTTCCTCCAACTGTGGCTACTGCTCTAACAGAAAGACAGGAACTGACGAAGCAAATACAAGATGTTGAAGAGAAAGTTAGGGTTGGACCACCATTGGCAGCAGCACCCGTTATCGAAGAAAAGGAAGCTCAGGCGGGTACTCTGGCAGAGTTCTATGAGGCTCAGTCTCGGTGGGGAACAAATATATCCACCGAAGATCGTGAAAGGATGATAGAAGAGGCATCCAGAGCCAATCATGCCAAAGTCATCAGGCGGCTTGAACATAAACTAGAAATTGTACGTATGCCTTATTTAGGCTATTCCTCAAATTTCGTAAAAATAATGGAACTAGATTTTAGGTAAATTTTTGGTAGCTTCCAGAACTTTGGCGCTTCGTGTGGATGTTCCTTGATCTTTCGACCTGGTCATGCTTAATCCCCACTACACAAATTTCGAACGTAAAAGTTCATTTAAAATATTATGATTCAGTTATTTGGCAAAATTCACTTTTTAAAATTGTGGCTTCATGCTCGCCTTTTTTGAATTGCCCATCAGTTGGTATCTACTCCATGTGAGAAACTAAGGGCCTGTTTTGGTTTTCATTATGCACTTTCAGTTGCCAGCATCTTGGCGACCTCTATACTGATCTCCGTGTGAAAACTAATCGACCTATTATCAATTGTTTATGTCGCTGACAGAATTGCATTCAGTCTCAGGCAAAGAAGCTGAAAGCCGAGAAACTGCTATCCAAAATAGTGGATTCTTGGGTTCCTGTAGATCCTTCTGATGACCAGGAGACAATTACAGATGAGGAAAGGGTTATGTACAGTAAAGTTGGCTTGCGGATGAAAGCATATCTGCCACTTGGTGAGTCCACCCTTTTTCATTTTGGATAAATTATAGAGTACAATAATTAAAATGAAACTGTTTCATCATAAAATACATTACTTGGGATCGTGGAAAAGGGAATATGATTTTCTCTTTATGAACATATCTCAGGGATCCGTGGAGTTTTTGATGGTGTTATAGAGAACATGCATCTGCACTGGAAACACAGAGAACTTGTTAAGTTGATATCAAAAGAAAAGGAACTTTCTTTTGTGGAAGAAACAGCAAGACTTCTGGAATACGAGAGTGGTGGGATATTAGTGGATATCGTTAGAGTTCCAAAAGGTCATGCGTTGATTTACTATCGAGGCAAGAATTATCGTCGGCCAATCACTCTGAGACCAAAAAATCTTCTGACTAAGGCGAAAGCACTCAAGCGTAGGATGGCCATGCAGCGATATGAGGTTAGTTATTCTTGACATTATAATTCTAATATTAACTTAATTAGTGATCGACGTTAAATTGAATGATTTGGTAAATTGGTCTTTAAAATTATTACTAATTTGTAATTCTGACATTGTCTTGCAGGCTCTCAGTCAGCACATCTCTGAACTGGAGAAAACCATTGAGCAGACGAAGCAAGAAATTGTAAGCAAACCTATTCTGCCTGTTGAATGAAGTTGCACAACATATGTTTTCTTTTACGTGAACAAAATATATTTGTTTAAGCTTGATGAGTCTTCCTATACATTATTATTTTAGGGCAACTCTGGAAAGCTGGAGAATGGGAAACTATGGAAATCTGAGGATGGCAGTATTCCAGAATTGGATGAAGTAAGCTGATTTGTTCACATGCATATAGTGACTGAATCAAATAAAATCAATGAACCTAAAATTTCAAGCCTAGGTATCAGCACATAAAAGGGTTCTGATTGTAAGTATCAATAAGATAAAATTCATAGATCTAAGATTGCTGCCAATGTGTGTTTTTGCTACGCATACACACTTTCTATACTTTGAATGAATAGAAAAATGATACTCTTTCCGTGTATACAGAGTGAGGATGATGAATCCTTTGATGATGAAGATGAGGATGACTCAGAGTGGGAAGATGATGAATATCCGGAAGTTTCAAGCCGCGAGGAGCCAGATTTTGCATCTCAAAAAGTTGACTAACCGGGAGTCTTCTCTCTTTCCTTTTTCAACGCCATGTTGCTTTGTATGGTTTCACAAGATCAATCAATGCTTAAAATTGGCTACGTAGTGGCGTACTTCAATCATGGAAATCAGTTAGAGCAAAGCAGAAGAAGAGTCAACATAACACTTATTTGGAGTCCAAAATTCTTATGTGGTAAATTTTGCAATCAGGAGCACCATCATCATCGTTGAACTGACTGGCAGCTGAAAAAGTGAGCGCTGTACAATTATTTAATTCTTCTCATTTAGTCACAATAAGCTTCAAATAATGGCTTGTTCATTCTGCTTCCTCTAGATACCTCAGGTCAGGACGAACTCGTGTATGTAGCATAGCCAATTCCATTCTTCAATTACATTCTTCAATTATGTAAAAGTATTTTCTACTACTATGGGATTTGCCGATTATAAGGAGTGCCCATCAATGGTTTGCATTTTTGTGTTCGAAATTTGAAGCATCCAAAGTGGTAGAGATGAGAAATTTAACCAATTGTAATTGTGACAGAACAAACGACATGAAGTAACAAGTTCCTGTGATGGAAGATCTACTCGAAAGAGAGTTTCTTGTTGCTCCTTTACAATCTTTAGATAAAATCATTTCATTAGGGGCGTCCGAATTGAAAAATTCAAGTTGAGAATTTTCAATGTAGAAGCTAAAGGTGGAATACACTAAAACGATGGTTGATAAGTTAAAACACAGAGATGGTTTATAAAATCAGGAAGTATTTCAAGTCTAATACACCCCTGATTCAATCACATATAATTAGAAATTAAAAGTTAACCAGCTAATAAAAAATGGAAACGGAAGTAGACGGATGGTGGACATATAAAATTTACCAAAATTACAACATGGATTCAGAATGTCTTTCCAAAAAATAAACACACACACACAAAATAAAAATAAAATAAAATAATTAAATAAATAAGAAAAAAAACCCTCATTGACGAAGCATTTGCTGCAACTGAAGTATCTGATTTCTATGTTCGGGTGGCATCGAATTAATCTGTTCCGGTGTGAGGCTCATAACTTGCTGCAATAACGTCTTTTCCAACTCAGGAGTCAACTGCACAATCGGAAAAAGGCATGATGAAAACTCCATTCCAAGCTGGAAGTACTACATTGCGCATTAATTACAAGATTACGAACAAAAACATAGAAATAATGCAACAAACTATACCTGCTGATCTGGTTGAGGAGGCTGATTGCTAGGCCCCACCTGACCAGGAAATGACAGTGGCCGCTGAAGCTGGCCCATCGGATTTCCACTCTGATTATAATCCATTCCCAAGTGTGGATTTCCAGTCTAGGCCACAGAAAAGTATTGCAGGCATTCATTGTAAGAAGACAAGATAAGTGCTCAAAAAGGCACATCAATGTAAGACAAAATAATGTGAAGATAAACCAAGTTCATGATCTCATCCAACTTGAGAAAAAAGAGGTCTTCATTGAGGCAGAGAAGAACCTATTATTGTGGCGTAATTGACATTCAAACTGGTTATGACGGAATTAGATAATATATTCCTCATGCAAATTAAGCAGAATGGGTAAATACAATAGGTAAATAATTAAATGTCAATACCATCCCAATGCCCTTGGGGATGAATATATGCATAACACATCTAAAGGAACTCAATGTCCAAGTCTTGGTAATATTTCTCTTCCCAGTGGAAAGATTTATATAATTAACCACAATTTCAATAATCATTAACCATGTTAAATATCACAAGCGCGCTGAAAATCGACAATCATAAAGGACTGAGCTGGTCGCAATACAAAGGCAAACCTGATAAATTGACGGGGGCATAGGCTGATTAGGATGTGGCAGCTGTCCTTGTGGAAATGAAGGCCCCATACTACCATGAGGTTTCCCACCTGACTGCAATACAAAAAAATTAAAAAATTAAGCAAAACAAGGCAAGTACATTTTCTGTTTGTTTTTTTTTTCATTCTCTTTTATTTTTACTCGTCTAAAATAACATTGGAAAGAGATTGTTTGGCTCACATGATACATATGCTGCGAATGATGCATAGGCGGTCCACCCGGATGCTGAAAGCCCATATTCGGGCCCATCCCACCATGACCCTGATGTGGGAAGCCCGGCATCAGGCCCCTCGGCTGTAGCGGCATAGAAGGCAAATAGTGATTGCCGCTACTTTGGATAGGCTGCTGTGACTGTGGCGGCAGAGAAGGCACAGAGGGCTGGTTGAGTGAAGGTGACTGTGAAACACTATGCTGTGGCAATTGAGAGGGCAATTGAGTTATATTAGAAACTTGAGAGGATTTTGCTGGCATTGGCATGGACATTTGTGCTGATTGGGCCCCATTATGGGCCTTAGATTGCATTTGTGGCTGTAATTGTCGCGAGGGGGCAGATTGGGGCTGAGGGTTTCTGGATGCCATAGTTTGGTTTGGGTTTTGGCTTGGAGTTTGGTTCGTCGGTTGCTTCCTTATCTGATTAGGAACAGTTTGGCCCGGGAAGGATGATGTGGGTTGAATTTTGGGCTTTTGATTTGATACAGGTGGTGGATTGGGGGAAGGAATCTGTGATGCTGTTGATGAAATTGCCGGCGACTGAAAAAAAGAAAAGAAAAAAAAAAGCGAAAAGATCAGAAAGGTTTTGCGAAGGAAATGTAAGTGAGAAAGGTATGGGAAAGAAATGAACATACAGCTTTCGGGGGCTGCACCATTCCTAGCATAATTTGTGCCTGTTGAGAGAAAAGATGAGATGAGACAAGTCCAGTAGTTTAAACGGGCAATTGCTGAAGAAAATTGATGATTAATGTAAAAGAGTATTTGCTGCCTTAAGTTAAAGTAGAACTTTAGGAGCAGCAGAGCTCTATTTCTAGTAAATATACATAACATGCATCAACCAAACTTGTTGAGTAAAAGATGACTCACAAAACCCAGTTGAAAAGATTGGATGTCATGCATAAATTCATGATATCAACTTTAATAGGTACTCCGATTAACATATTAACAGTCATGTTGATTATACAGAAACTGCATTTATTCCAAGAATGTGATAAATTTTAGAAAAACTTGGTTTCTGTTAACTAGAATATGTTGTGCATGGCCATCTGTCCAAGCTCTGATATTATCAAATCGACACCTTTAGTTAATAATAAAGTTCATTACTAATTTTTTTTACATGTAAACGCTTCCATAACGTTCCTTTATTTACCCCTTAATCGTGAAATCAGATACTCAATGATGAACTAGTTATAAAACAGGTGACTGTATCAACTTAACACACTGAGCTATATTAGATATGTATTTAGCATGTACAAGCTCAATTAAGTTACAATGTTGTGATTAAAAGGTTACGTGTATCAGCAGTAAAAAAACATGTAAACTCTATTCAGGAAGCAGAAAAAAAAAAAAAAAAAAAAAAAGNAAAAAAAAAAAAAAAAAAAAAATCTTCTTGGCTTGTTTATCTCAAAAACAAGAACAAGATAAAAAAACAAAACCAAAGGATCATGGTAGCGGAAGTTCACTGCTGGAACCATCTTTTACAAATAACTTTACCTACCTCCTCCTGAATGGACTACTATAGCAATGAACTTCTTACTCAGGCATAAACAACTTAAATTTGAGCATAATCTCTATCCAGCAATAAAAGAATATGGAGAAACCAGAAAGAGTATAACACATTCTCATAAAATGCTAACAATCAATCATTATCACCACCCAAAAAGTCATGACTGTATAGACTAGAGTAAGTCAAAATTATAAAATCATTCTTCCATATACTCTACCAAAATTAATTGGTCTATTTAAGAGTTCAATAGCCATCACAATGAGGGTTGGTCTACTTCTTCATCACAGCATTGGTTCAATTATTACATCTATAATTCACATGAACTTAACCACCCATTAAAACTTGTAACACACAATCAGAAGAGAAATTTTTGAAAATAATATATTAAAATTTTTCCAGATCCATCCTCTCAAATCCACATCCCCCAAGAATATATAATGCAACGAATATTCTGCTGCAGGAAAAATCAATCTAAAAGTGACAGCGGATGAATCGGAGAAGAAAACCTTAATTAGAACCTAACCTGAAAAAGAGCTCTTGTCAAAACAGGATTCTGAATAAGAATTTGCCTCGCTTGCTGCTTATTCTGCTCTATCAATGTCTGCACACAAACCCCAATGCTTCAAGCTTCAGTTTTTCAAACCAACGATATTACATAGAATTTTTATAACCATGTGGTCGTACTCAATAGAGTGTTATTAATGTAATTAGGACAAAAATTTCGAACCTTCATCTGAGACATAATATCGTAGAGCTGATTCTTGGACATGCCGGCAAGGCTCGGCGGCACTCCGTCGCCGGCGAATTGCTTTCCCGCCATTCTTCTCTGCACGAACCCACGCTCACAACTAATTTTTCACAGGGCGAGCAGACTGATGAAGTGTGTGTAGATGAAATTAGCAGGGTTCTTTTCTGTTCAATCAAACTGTTTAATAGCATGAGCCATGAAGACGATGATCATTTGGGCCAGGAACACAATCCACATGATACCTAGATTTATAAGCCCAGCCCAATAAAAAAAGTGATATATGTTATTGGGCTATAAGCAGCTATGCCCAATAACTTTTCAACCCGACCAAGAATATAGAAACTGTAGTCCGGATCCGATCCGGCCTCATATATAGACACCTCTCTCTCTCTCTCTCTCTCTCTCTCTATCTCTCCCTCTCGTTCTGGTGGCGGACGAGTGGATATCTGGTCACCATTCGGAATAAAGATAACTCACGCGCCGCTACAGATGGCGTTTCTACCCCTCTCAGTTTCTCTGTCAGCTCCTGGCCCTAAAACGGCGATGCTTATGGCTCCCTCCTCTCATTCAACCCTATCCTCACCATTGTTGCCCTCTTCTTCAGAAACCCTTTCTCTACTATCGCCTCTTAATTGCTTTCAGATAAGCCGCGCCGGAAATTTGGCTCGTGGCCGCCGACGGTCATGGATTGTGAGAATGGCTCCGGAAGAACAGAGGTTGACTCGCCGTTCACCTCTTGATTTTCCTGTCGTAAGTTTCTCTGCTTTCAAGCTGTTCCACCATTTTTGTTCGTGAGATTCTGCCGAACATTTTTTTCGCTGAAGTTGCCACTTTTGGATTTGAAATTTCTGTGGAAGAGTACTTATTAATTTGCTGATTGTAATGAATATTCTTAACCCTAGAGTAAGTCGGGCCTCATTTGAATGCCAGTTTATCTATTTGCCTGAGGCTGTGTGGGGATTTGATGTAGCGAGATAAAGTTGTTGCCTTTTCTAGAGAAATGGATACAATAAGCTAAATATGAAATATTGGATTGTGTATTCATGGGGTCTTATTCAAAGTGCAACTTCTGTAAAGCTTGTGGTTTGAATCCAATCGAACAATTGATTGATTGAACCGAGGAGATTTTTGTCTTTGCTCCTTATGTTTATACGAGGCTGACTAAATAGCTCAAACGTTGTATCTTGTCGGTCAATGCATAGTAAGACGCTACCAAATTGGCTAAATAGCTCAAACGTCGTATCTTGTTTTTGGATTATCATTATATGTAGTATCACAGCATGAATCTCAATTTCCTTGGCTACAGTTTATGCAGTTCTTATCAGTTGCATTTCCTGAAAATAGTTCCTCTTTTCCATGTGATATTGAAGAATGTAGCAAGCCCCTGATATACTTGATGGCTTGTTTTTGGATTATCTTTATTTGTAGTATAACAGCATGAACCTCAATTTCCTTTGCTACAGTTTGCAGTTCTTATCAGTTGTATTTCTTGAAAATAGTTCCTTTTTTCCATGCTATATTGAAGGATGTAGCGAGCCCCTGATATACTTACCTTGTTTCCTAACATTTCGTAAAGAAGTGGACTTAATAGTGTAGGGCTATCTGGTATAAAATAGTTGACATATTTTTCTGTAAGACCTAATCATCCTTATGATAGAGGAGTGGGTTGAGCGTGTTGTATTTGACATTATTAATAATGATATGGTTAGCTAACACCAAATCCTCTGAAATGTGTATTGTCAGAAATTTTATTGTAGTTTAGTTTACTTCATTGTGAGAGAGTGAATTGACAAGGAGAAACCCTCATTGTATTAGCCTAGTGGTGTTGACGAGCTAGTATCATTGCATGTAGCCGTCAAGTAGAATATGTGTGTTCTTTTGTTATTTCATTTTCATTGATGGAAATTCAAGAATAATTTTCTAATCATTTCAGGAGTGGGAAAAACCAAAGCATAGCAGGAGGCCCGACATTTTCCCACAATTCAGCCCGATGAAAACTCCATTACCTCCACCAATGCCGGGAGACCCACCACCAGACGAAGAAGAAGAAGAAGAAGATGAAGACAACGAAGAAGAGAAAGAGAAAGAGAACGAAGAAGAAGAAGAAGAAGAGGAAACGAAAGATCCCGAGGAGGAAACTCCTGGGGAGCCACTACAGGTCTGAGAAGAGGGTTTGTGATGTGTAATCTTGGATAGTGAAGAAAAAAGACCATGCTTTGTATGTGTGAGTGTTTCTTCAAGGACTTGGACCCATTTTGTAGGCAAATAATTTTGTTTTTAAGTTTAATGTGGAAGTGATTTTCAGACTAATATCTATAGAATATGGATGGGAATTTGTCGAATTATACGTAACATGTAATAAACGTCTTTTNTACATAACATGTAACAGCTTATGAAGTCATCAGTCATGCATGTATTTACAAATGATGCGTTGATTTAGATTTTAAATAAATACATTGCTTATGTAGTCATGCATATATTCATGTGTTGATGTAGATTCTAAATAAACACACTTGATGTGTCAATACATCAATTTATAGACTTGAATACATACTTATATTTATTTATAAAAGTGGGACAGAGAAAAAATTGAACTTGGTTGCAACCTCTAAACCATTCCATTGAAACAAGATTGTAGAGAAATCTATGGATGTCTGTTACAACCTCAAAATGAACATCCAAATTCATTTGATGTAAAAGAAAAAAAAAAAGATCTTGTGAATATCCAAATCAAATTTCAGAATAATCAGCAAAACTTTGGATACATTCTCTAGGGGCAACAATCTTGCTAAGTGATTCCAATTCTGTGATAAAATTTACATTCAGAGATGATCATCTTGAAGAGAATTGAACATTACCCAATACCCCACTTATTAAAGTTTTCATGAAAAAGGAAATACACTGTTAATCACGAGATTATGAAAATAAAATGCCAATGCACATAAACGATCAATAAAGCAAGTAGAATACGACTAAAATCGTACGACAAATCAACAGCAGAAAAGAAGAGCACATAACATAATATCATAAGAACTGAGCATTCCTATTTTTTGCCACTTTTCTTGAGACCGGAGCCTCCAAATGCTCCTTTCTGCTGAGCCTTTGCCTTGAGTTCCTTAAGAGCCTGCAACGTAAAGAACTCTGTATTAAAGGAATGTTGGGTAAATGCAAAAAAGGGCATTCTTTTCAGACATATAGCTATACCTTTTCTTCTTCCTTCTTCTTTTGAATGTTAGCCTTGTCAAACTGCAAAAATCGAGGCAATTTCACATTAGATTTAACACATCTATATTATAGCATCACATAAAGGCTCCTTTCCTTATCTTGCTTTTTTCCCTGTTATTTCATGTTCAAGCTGCTCGATATTGGATTTGGAAGTATCATTCAGCAAATCACCACATTTATCTTATTCTATTTCGACCAATTTCAACTAATTTAACATAATCATTGATGTTAATTTTAGCATGAAATCAAGGAAATGGAATGAATCAAATTCACCACTTTCCCAAAAATTTCCAATCCAAAAGCACCATGAAGATCAGCTTCCAACACATGCAACATTTATCGTATAACATTTTCACAATCATTACAGGTTTAACAAATAGAAAGCCATCTGGAACGCAATTATCAACAAATAGAAAACCAACTAGAACAAAATTATCAACAAAGAAAGCCGCATCTTAGGGTTAGCACTTAGCAGACACCTCAAACTCAAAACAGAGCACAAACACTGCAAGTGTCATTATTTTCTTTAAATCGTTAAATATCATATCAAATACCATACATATCAAACCATATTTCCATAATCTCAAAGCTTGGATTTTGAACATGAAAAACTTCTAAAGTCCAACAAAAAACAATTGCCGAAACTGATACCTCGTCGTACTCTTTCTTTTCGGCTTTAGGCTGCTTTAATGGCTTCGCCTTCCCGCCTGTTCCAAGCCCAAACCAAAGGATCAAAATAAAACAAGAAAATTAAAATAATAAGAATAAAAGCAACAACGATAAGCTCCGATGTAAGGAAAGAATAAGGAAAATTCGTGAATTACCTTGCTTAGACATAGTTAGATTACAGGGTTAGGGTTCGATGTGGATCGCAAAATCAAGCTTTGAACAAAAGTATGCCCTAACCCAATCGCAGATTTCTTCTGATGATATTTGCTTTGATTTTCAGAGCTTTTTGCTCTTTTATATTCACGAATAAAGTAGCTGAATCGCGATTTGTCCTCTGAATATAATTTATAAACGCGCTTTTTCTTGAAGCCACCTTAATTATTACTTTTTTTTAAGTGCCTTCAAATTCAAACGAAAGCTTGTAAACAAATCAAATTTTTTTTATTCGAATTCGATATTTGTGATTCGAATTCGAATAAAAATAATGTTTTATATTCGAAAGTTAAACGAATCCAAATTTGGATTTGTAGATATTCGATTCGTTAAAAATAATTATATATTTTTAAATTATATTACTACGGTTCGGGAGAAAGTAAGAGTATCTACTCGGACACTCCTGCCTTTTCGCGAGTTCAATGTTAGCCAGATTAGTCAACATTGATATGTTTCGGTGCAACAACAAGATGTTATTTGTAATAAGTAGTTTTGTTGGTTGCCCTAGGAGACAATTCGGATTGATCAATAAAAATCGACTTCACGGTTACAGATCTACGAGGTCGGGTGCTTTCCTGGTCCTCGGCCGGCGTCGTTTTCGGGCAGGTCTGCAGCCATTATGTGAAATAGGGGTTACATACCGTAGCTTTCGGAGATTCCGATTGAAAAGTGTCCCATTGTGAACGCTTGGGTTTCCGAAATAGTGTAAAAAAAAGTGCTTCGAATCATTGCTATTTGACTTGGAGTTCAGCTTGTTGGGCCTGGGCGATTTTCGGCCCATTTGTCTTAGGAAAATCTCTTTCTACCGGGAATTCAAAAAGTTTTTTGTGGGACCTACTACTGGTGGGGTAACAGCTAGTTGAATTGGTCCGACTATGTTACTATTGCCATACTAGAGTTCAACGGGGTTCGAATAACTATTGGTTGTGCTCGAAAGGTTATGAATCGCGAGGACTGGCTGGTAAAGCCTTGCCGAAAAAGTACTCCTCCCATCTTTTCTGACCCATCCGACCGTTACTGAAGCTTTTGCCTCTGTTCAATACATAATGACGAGTTCTTAATCGATTTCTTTCACTCAAAGATATCATGATCTCATTTTATTTTATAATATCTCATATAAGTATACATTTTGTTTATAATATATGTGTATATATATATAATGTTATATTTTTAATATTTTTATGACAAAAAGTAAAAATGTAATATTTTTACTAAAAATATTTTCCCTAAAAATATATGAAAAAATAAAAAATATTTTTGTAATTATAATATTAATTTAATTATAATATTTTTCTGAAAACGAATTTCGAATCGAATTGAATATGTTCGAGTATTTTAAACGAATCGCATACGAATAAAAAAATAAGTTCGTAAACGAATCGAATACGAATTCGAATCCTCGAATATTTTTACGAATTCGAATCGAATATCTTAGTATTCGACTGTTCGCTTTGATTCGATTCGTTTACAACCCTACTCAAAAGTGGGGTAATCAGTGAATATGGGACCAAAACTTCATTCTCCATTTTAAAAATAATATTATATATTTTGAGGAAAAAAATTAACCGAACTACTCCATGTTCAAAATTTTCGTATAAAGTTTTACATTTGACGAATTGTCACCAAATATACACAAGATTCAAATTTTGCCTCCAGCAATTTAAAACTCTAAATGATGTCATGCTTTTTAATTCAATTAATGATAAAGTTCTAATCGTAATTTTAAATTAATTTAAAGCCTTTTATGCCCATGATGAGACGAACAAAATAGAGTGTGCTTTACTGATTTATGTTGATTGAATCGTTTGTTGTCGATCAAAGAAAAGGATATATATATTGGACATTAATTCAATTATCAAGGCATTCAATTTTTAATGGGAGTTCATTTTTAGAGAAGACTTTGGACCACCACATATTGATATGCAATGGAAAAATCCATATAGCTTTACATTGATATGCAATAGAGTATGTGCACATTTAAACTAGGGGCGCACTTCATTTTTTAAAGAGACAAACTTCCAAATTAAAATGTGAGTATCAAGAGGAATTATACTACCTTTTATCCATCAGATTTTTTCAACTAAAATCACACCCATATCTTTGTGTTTGACCGGAAACTCACCATGTATTAAAGGGAAAAAAAAAAAAAAATGTCTCAAAAGCATTTATTCTTATCTGTGGGCTCCACGGTTCAGTGAACGAAGTATACTTATATACGGTTTTGCTATGGAGCCAACAGTTGGCTCCACAGTGGAGCCAACCTTCTATATACATCAAATAAACCTACCATATTCATAAAATTATTTAGTTTTATTTAGGTAATCAAAGAATATGGTAGATTTATTTTAAAATACGATAGTTTTATTTAGGTTTATAATAAATAATTATATTATAAAATATCATACACTTTTACTTATATTAATTTTAAAATACGATATTTTAATTGTTATTATATACATATGTTGGAAAAAAAATTATATACATATGTTGGGAAAATATAATTGACAATCGCTAACACCAGACTTAGTTTTACCAATTGGGAGTAGACAAAATTTACGTTTCCAGTCAATTAATCCCGAGATCCATGCTATGCAAATTTACATATGGAAATTAACCTTAATCACATAGTATTACCAATTTACATAGGAACACTTTCAATAAAATAGTATAAATCAATACAAAAACCACTTGTGGCTTGAGTAACAAGGCAAGAAAACGAAACAAAACAAAACATTATTAATTAACATTTACAAATCTGAATTTCTTGGGGAAGAAGACAAATAATCAAATTTTAATTTGTATATTCAACCATATATGCAAGCAAGATTAATAATATGCGTCTTCTCCCTCAACTTATAAGCTGTGTGCCTCTTGATCATCGATACGTTCGAGGCCAAAAAATGTATAAGCCGGCCCGATGCTTTCCTTGTTAATTTAATGCCAAAA